TTGAGACAGTGAATTAAGAGCTAGGAGTTGGGCACCTGAAGTTGCATGTTCCAATGTTAGGGCAATGAAGTTATGAGCTAAGAGATGGGCAGGTGAAGTTGTATGTTCCACTGTTGAGACAGTGAAGTAATGAGCTAAGAGTTTGGCGGATGGAGTTGCATGTTCCACTGTTGAGACTGTGAGGTTATGAGCTAAGAGTTGGACAGGTGAAGTTGTATGTTCCACTGTTGAGACAGTGAAGTAAAGAGCTAAGAGTTGGGCACCTGAAGTTGCATGTTCCACTGTTTGAGACAGTGAAGTAAAGAGCTAAGAGTTGGGCGGATGGAGTTGCATGTTCTGCTGTTGAGACAGTGAAGTTATGAGCTAAGAGTTGGGCAGGTGAAGTTGTATGTTCCGCTGTTGAGACAGTGAAGTTATTAGCTAAGAGTTGGGAAGTTGAAGTTGTATGTTCCACTGTTGAGACAGTGAAGTTATGAGCTAAGAGTTGGGCAGGTGAAACTGTATGTTCCAATGTTGAGGTAGTGAAGTTATGAGCTAAGAGTTGGGCAGGTGAAGTTGTATGTTCCAATGTTAGGGCAGTGAAGTTATGAGCTAAGAGTTGGGCAGGTGAAGCTGTATGTTCCGCTGTTGAGACAGTGAAGTAAAGAGCTAAGAGTTGGGCACCTGAAGTTGCATGTTCCAATGTTAGGGCAGTGAAGTTATGAGCTAAGAGTTGGGCAGGTGAAGTTGTATGTTCCACTGTTGAGACAGTGAAGTTATGAGCTAAGAGTTGGGCACCTGAAGTTGCATGTTCTACTGTTGAAACAGTGAAGTTATGAGCTAAGAGTTGGACAGGTGAAGTTGTATGTTCCACTGTTGAGACATTGAAGTTATGAGCTAATGTTTGGGCAGGTGAAGTTGTATGTTCCGCGGTGGAGATAGTGAAGTTATGAGCTAAGAGATGGGCAGGTGAAGCTGTATGTTCCGCTGTTGAGACAGTGAAGTAAAGAGCTAAGAGTTAGGCACCTGAAGTTGCATGTTCTAATGTTGAGGCAGTGAAATTATGAGCTAAGAGTTTGGAAGGTGAAGTTGTATGTTCCGCTGTTGAGAAAGTCAAGTTATGAGCTAAGAGTTGGGCAGGTGAAGTTGTATGTTCTGCTGTTGAGACAGTGAAGTAAAGAGCTAAGAGTTGGGCACCTGAAGTTGCATGTTCCAATGTAAGGGCAATGAAGTTATGAGCTAAGAGTTGGGCTGGTGAAGCTGTATGTTCCGCTGTTGAGACAGTGAAGTAAAGAGCTAAGAGTTGGGCACCTGAAGTTGCATGTTCCACTGTTTTGAGACAGTGAAGTAAAGAGCTAAGAGTTTGGCAGATGGAGTTGCATGTTCCACTGTTGAGACAGTGAAGTTATGAGCTAAGAGTTGGGCAGGTGAAGTTGTATGTTCCACTGTTGAGACAGTGAAGTTATGAGCTAAGCGATGGGCAGGTGAAGCTGTATGTTCCACTGTTGAGACAGTGAAGTTATGAGCTAAGAGTTGGGCAGGTGAAGTTGTATGTTCCACTGTTGAGACAGTGAAGTTATGAGCTAAGAGTTGGGCAGGTGAAGTTGTATGTTCCACTGTTGAGACAGTGAAGTTAGTAGCTAAGAGTTGGGCAGGTGAAGTTGTATGTTCCACTGTTGAGACAGTGAAGTTATGAGCTAAGAGTTGGGCAGGTGAAGTTGTATGTTCCGTTGTTGAGACAGTGAAGTTATTAGCTAAGAGTTGGGCACCTGAAGTTGCATGTTCCAATGTTAGGGCAGTGAAGTTATGAGCTAAGAGTTGGGCAGGTGAAGCTGTATGTTCCAATGTTGAGGCAGTGAAGTTATGAGCTAAGAGTTGGGCAGGTGAAGTTGTATGTTCTGCTGTTGAGACAGTGAAGTAAAGAGCTAAGAGTTGGGCACCTGAAGTTGCATGTTCCAATGTTAGGGCAGTGAAGTTATGAGCTAAGAGTTGGGCAGGTGAAGCTGTATGTTCCGCTGTTGAGACAGTGAAGTAAAGAGCTAAGAGTTGGGCACCTGAAGTTGCATGTTCCAATGTTAGGGCAATGAAGTTATGAGCTAAGAGTTGGGCTGGTGAAGCTGTATGTTCCGCTGTTGAGACAGTGAAGTAAAGAGCTAGGAGTTGGGCACCTGAAGTTGCATGTTCCAATGTTAGGGCAATGAAGTTATGAGCTAAGAGTTGGGCAGGTGAAGCTGTATGTTCCGCTGTTGAGACAGTGAAGTAAAGAGCTAAGAGTTGGGCACCTGAAGTTGCATGTTCCAATGTTAGGGCTGTGAAGTTATGAGCTAAGAGTTGGGCAGGTGAAGTTGTATGTTCCACTGTTGAGACAGTGAAGTAATGAGCTAAGAGTTTGGCGGATGGAGTTGCATGTTCCACTGTTGAGACAGTGAAGTTATGAGCTAAGAGTTGGGCAGGTGAAGTTGTATGTTCCACTGTTGAGACAGTGAAGTAAAGAGCTAAGAGTTGGGCACCTGAAGTTGTATGTTCCACTGTTTGAGACAGTGAAGTAAAGAGCTAAGAGTTGGGCGGATGGAGTTGCATGTTCCACTGTTGAGACAGTGAAGTTATGAGCTAAGAGTTGGGCAGGTGAAGTTGTATGTTCCGCTGTTGAGACAGTGAAGTTATTAGCTAAGAGTTGGGAAGTTGAAGTTGTATGTTCCACTGTTGAGACAGTGAAGTTATGAGCTAAGAGTTGGGCAGGTGAAACTGTATGTTCCAATGTTGAGGCAGTGAAGTTATAAGCTAAGAGTTGGGCAGGTGAAGTTGTATGTTCCAATGTTAGGGCAGTGAAGTTATGAGCTAAGAGTTGGGCAGGTGAAGCTGTATGTTCCGCTGTTGAGACAGTGAAGTAAAGAGCTAAGAGTTGGGCACCTGAAGTTGCATGTTCCAATGTTAGGGCAATGAAGTTATGAGCTAAGAGTTGGGCTGGTGAAGTTGTATGTTCCACTGTTGAGACAGTGAAGTTATGAGCTAAGAGTTGGGCAGGTGAAGTTGTATGTTCCACTGTTGAGACAGTGAAGTTATGAGCTAAGAGTTGGGCACCTGAAGTTGCATGTTCTACTGTTGAGACAGTGAAGTTATGAGCTAAGAGTTGGACAGGTGAAGTTGTATGTTCCACTGTTGAGACATTGAAGTTATGAGCTAATGTTTGGGCAGGTGAAGTTGTATGTTCCGCGGTTGAGATAGTGAAGTTATGAGCTAAGAGATGGGCAGGTGAAGCTGTATGTTCTGCTGTTGAGACAGTGAAGTAAAGAGCTAAGAGTTAGGCACCTGAAGTTGCATGTTCCAATGTTGAGGCAGTGAAATTATGAGCTAAGAGTTGGGAAGGTGAAGTTGTATGTTCCGCTGTTGAGAAAGTCAAGTTATGAGGTAAGAGTTGGGCAGGTGAAGTTGTATGTTCTGCTGTTGAGACAGTGAAGTAAAGAGCTAAGAGTTGGGCACCTGAAGTTGCATGTTCCAATGTAAGGGCAATGAAGTTATGAGCTAAGAGTTGGGCTGGTGAAGCTGTATGTTCCGCTGTTGAGACAGTGAAGTAAAGAGCTAAGAGTTGGGCACCTGAAGTTGCATGTTCCACTGTTTTGAGACAGTGAAGTAAAGAGCTAAGAGTTTGGCGGATGGAGTTGCATGTTCCACTGTTGAGACAGTGAAGTTATGAGCTAAGAGTTGGGCAGGTGAAGTTGTATGTTCCACTGTTGAGACAGTGAAGTTATGAGCTAAGAGATGGGCAGGTGAAGTTGTATGTTCCACTGTTGAGACAGTGAAGTTATGAGCTAAGAGTTGGGCAGGTGAAGTTGTATGTTCCACTGTTGAGACAGTGAAGTTATGAGCTAAGAGTTGGGCAGGTGAAGTTGTATGTTCCACTGTTGAGACAGTGAAGTTAGTAGCTAAGAGTTGGGCAGGTGAAGTTGTATGTTCCACTGTTGAGACAGTGAAGTTATGAGCTAAGAGTTGGGCAGGTGAAGTTGTATGTTCCGTTGTTGAGACAGTGAAGTTATTAGCTAAGAGTTGGGCACCTGAAGTTGCATGTTCCAATGTTAGGGCAGTGAAGTTATGAGCTAAGAGTTGGGAAGGTGAAGCTGTATGTTCCAATGTTGAGGCAGTGAAGTTATGAGCTAAGAGTTGGGCAGGTGAAGTTGTATGTTCTGCTGTTGAGACAGTGAAGTAAAGAGCTAAGAGTTGGGCACCTGAAGTTGCATGTTCCAATGTTAGGGCAGTGAAGTTATGAGCTAAGAGTTGGGCAGGTGAAGCTGTATGTTCCGCTGTTGAGACAGTGAAGTAAAGAGCTAAGAGTTGGGCACCTGAAGTTGCATGTTCCAATGTTAGGGCAATGAAGTTATGAGCTAAGAGTTGGGCTGGTGAAGCTGTATGTTCCGCTGTTGAGACAGTGAATTAAGAGCTAGGAGTTGGGCACCTGAAGTTGCATGTTCCAATGTTAGGGCAATGAAGTTATGAGCTAAGAGATGGGCAGGTGAAGTTGTATGTTCCACTGTTGAGACAGTGAAGTTATGAGGTAAGGTTTGGGCAGGTGAAGTTGTATGTTCCACTGTTGAAACAGTGACGTTATGAGCTAAGAGATGGGCAGGTGAAGTTGTATGTTCCACTGTTGAGACAGTGAAGTTATGAGCTAAGAGATGGGCAGGTGAAATTGTATGTTCCACTGTTGAGACAGTGAAGTTATGAGCTAAGAGATGGGCAGGTGAAGTTGTATGTTCCGCTCCGGAGACAGTGAAGTTATGAGCTAAGAGTTGGGCAGGTGAAGTTGCATGTTCCAATGTTGAGGCAGTGAAGTTATGAGCTAAGAGTTGGGCAGGTGAAGCTGTATGTTCTGCTGTTTAGAGAGTGAAGTAAAGAGCTAAGAGTTGGGCACCTGAAGTTGCATGTTCCACTGTTGAGACAGTGAAGTTATGAGCTAAGAGTTGGGCAGGTGAAGTTGTATGTTCCACTGTTGGGACAGTGAAGCCATTTGAGATGAAGCAACTTACCTCCGGCTTCAGAATGACAGCCTTCCTGTACAGGCCCTCTGCATCAAGGTCTCTACTGTTTTGCCTGCAACCACATGAAACATGCTCTGTGTAGACAATGTTGATACATGTTCTGTGTACACAATTACTGGTAGTAGATACATGTTCTATGTACACAATTACAGGTAGTAGATACATTTTCTATGTACACAATTACAGGTAGTAGATACATGTTCTATGAACACAATTACTGGTAGTAGATACATGTTCTATGTACACAATTACAGGTAGTAGATACATGTTCTATGTACACAATTACTGGTAGTGGATACATGATGTTCTACGTACATTATTACTGGTAGTAGATACATTTGTCATTCTCCTAGGACACTTAACACCCTGGAGGCCGAGTTATTCCTCTGATCTACATGTTGATTAGTTCTCAAAAGTGACTGTCTGGTGAGAATTGCGCTAGTGTGGCACTGGATTTATCTCAGACTATAAAATGACGCTGGGATGTAGAATATTTAAGTTCCCATTTGATGGTTTGAAAGTGAACTGCAAAAGTTAAACTGGTTTGAAAAAGAGACTGGTAAAGGTTGTCCGAGATTTTGTTATGTGTACAAAAACAACTTATTTCACCACTTTGTTTCATATACTTAAAGAAATGTGCGATGACAAACTTTATTTAACAGCCTTATGGAAACTTTGAGCGAACAAAATAATGCCCGATATTTGAACAACGTACATATATATATATAAATATCTCAAATGGATTTGTTTACTGATGTAATCTTATACACTCGATACGAAAAATTGCTTGCCATAAATGACGAAAACCTCTTTGATGTTAAAAGATAAGAGAGGGGTTACAAATGGGGTATAAGTCTGCTATGCTTAGCACCAGTTCTTTCTAACTCTGCTCAAATAGCCTGCCGACACCTTCCGTTTTTATCCTTCCCAAATTATCGAAAAGGTATGTTGTTTCACACTTCTTCAGCATGGACTCGGATAGAAATATATTGTAAGCTATCGACTCCACAGTTATGTGGATTGCTGTCGCGATTAAGAACATTTTTGACGTGAAATCCTTGATGCGTGTTTCGTGTTTTCGAAGTGTCAATTTAAATCACACAGTTTTACAAAATGAAATGTCAATGTTTGGACGTAAAGCAGACTAATTGTTTGTCAAAATATCTATGGAAAAGTATGCTGCCATCTTGGATGAAGATAAAATAAACTTACGACAGGTATGGGGCTATCTTAGATTTACGACAATCTTAAGATATCTTAGGGCTACGATAGTTTCGAAAATATGCTACGATGGCCTATGATTTTCTTACGATAAATTTACGATAATTTTAGGACTACGGTCGTTTCGAAAATCTAGGCCCTGAATAAAGAATTCAATACAATACTCAATACATTACATATCAATGCTTGGTATTCATACACCACTCTGAAAGTATACTGAAGCATACGTAAAATATGTATATCAGGCCCATTGTCAATACATAACACCTATGTGAGAGAGTATCATTATTCCAATTAGCTTTGCTGCTATAATGAACAATGTCAAAGGTGAAGGCAGAATGTTCCAAAGATCATTGCCCTAACCTACCTGTGGCATCCTTAATGGATTTGAACCATTTCCATGCTAGACTGTGTAGACTATGAATTTACAATTTGCAAAATATTGGACACAATGACCTAAATGCTTCAACCAGAGCTAAGCCTTCCTTTTTTGTTATGCTCTTGTTCTTCCTTGTCAAAATTTACACATAGCATATTTGAGTGTGTTGAATGCCTTATCACATTCAAGGGACCACTGGGACTTTGGTTTCTTCCCTAGGGCCTCCTTTTGCCTCTAGTAATGCATTCAGTGGAAGCACTATGTTAGCGTACATACCGGTACTCTCTGTGGAAGCTTGTGCAGCCTAATAAAGTGTGAACCTACTTTGGCCATCGGGAAGGTTTTAATTGCTTCAATCTTTTTGCCATAAACTTGGAACACCTCCACATGATAAAACATGACCCGGAAATGAAACCTTGTCTGTTGTAAAATTGCATTTGGATGGCTTTAGTGTTAATTTTGACTGTTCGACGTAGTAGCAATCTCATTAAAATCAGACCTTAGTTTTCGCTACTGCCAAACAAAGATCTGAGGACATCCCATTACGGGTCACGTCAGAATGACCTTTCGCATACTTTGACCGACCAATGAAATGACTGACAAGAAATCGACATAAGCCAAATCAGAAGACAGCTTTCTCGAGCTTTACAACACCAGTTTCAAACTGGTGACTACACTTAGAAACATATTTTAACATATTCTCGATTAAAATGTTTAAAACTGATCAAAAGAACTTTCTTGAATGGCTTATAGATTGCCTAGATTGTATGGATATAATCATAAAACCCGTAACTGTCATTCGGAATACCTTCTGTTAAATATTTCGAGGTTGCATGATTAGAAAACATATTCCGACTGTCACTTTCATGATCTGGTAAGAGACGCTATGATTGGTTGGATGAAAGGTCGTTCTGACGTGGTGATCCGTAATGGGATGTCCTCAGATTTGTTTAGCGGTAGCGAGAACTAAGATCTGATTTTAATGAGATTGAGGTAGTAGAATACTTGCTTCAATGCTTCAATTGTTTGAGATGCTCTTCAAAGTTTTTTGCTGTAAATTATCATCAATGATAATCAGTGCAACCTTGAAAAGAAGCTTTCATAACAGTTTGCTCACGAGCTGCTGAAAAGAAAGTGGGGAGTTTGACAAATCTTGGGGCAAATGTTTTAACTGATAAAGGCCTTCATTGGTGACAACAGCAGTTGTATGCTTTGAATTTTCCTGTTTTGGAACATGGGAAAAAACATTAGTAAGGTCTGAATGGAGAAAATCTTAGCTTGGGCATTCAACTTTCTGTAGTCACAAACAAATCTATATGAGCCATCACATTTCTTGACTAGGATGATGTACCTGAATAAATAGAATTAAACACCTCAATCAAATCATACTTTAGAAAATAGTCTACAAGTTCTTCAGTGTCTTTTGAAGATGAGGAGATTAGCGATAGGGTCTATACTTAACGGGTGGGTGGTTGCCAGTATCAATAATATGTTGGTGCATTTTAGTCTTTTCTAAATCTATCAGACCTATTGAGAACATGTCTCTGTTTTGTTACAAAATCTAAGTAGTCTGTGTTGTTGGTCTGGAGTCAGTCGTGTATTGGTCAAATCAAATCCTAATTCTTGTGCAATCTTGACATAATCGTTGGTGTCACTGTCAATCTTCCCATCTCAAAAAAGTCAAAGACATATACTAGTTTAGTAGGCTGGGGTGCATTGTATGGAGAAAAAATACACCAGTGGATCCATAGGGGGGTGCATAGGATGCACATCCCCCCTTTTATTCAGACACCTTACAAGTTAATTGGGACTTGAGTATTATATGCAACTTCTTTTCAAAATCCTGGTTCCATCACTGGCACAGGTGGTAGATGGTCAATACTGGAAAGAAAAGCTATTTGGATGGCATAGCAGGCATTTACTCTAGCACATGACTTCAGAGGAAAACAAACTGATCTTGTGTCTGATGACACCACTACTGTATCTCCATGAAAAGGGCGGATCAAGATATGAAGTCTGCAATGAACTTGAAAGAGAAAACAAGATCTGGTGTAAAGAACATTATTATATAAAATGTGGTTATCACTTTCTCACATTGCAGGAGAACACAACTCAAAGGTCCTTGGACACAAAAATGTTTGGTGAGACCATTTCTCATCTTAAAATCAACTCAAATATTGTTATGTTTGCATCTCATCTCAATAGAAACATAAATGAATTTGTCAGTTGGCGACCAGAGCCAGAAGCAATAGCAGTTGATGCACTCCACCAGTCAGGAGTTCAGATTTGATATACTTAATGATTTCTGCCATTTTGCCTTATGTCTAGATGTTTACAAAAGATTGAATCTGATCAAGCTACAGTAATCTTTATTACTCCACTATGGGCGATTCAAGCTAAGGAATAGGAGATAGAATCAAACTCAAACATCAGCTTACAGGTAAATTATCAGATAATAAGGAAAGAGTGGTCTGCTAGTAGGTGTGACCTAGTGTGTTTGGCTTATAAAACATAAATGCAAAAATATTTGCTGGGTTTGTTGAACAAATGTCATGGAAGTAATGGAGTATCTGACTTTCAGAAAATAGAAAGTGTTGGATTACCATATGGGGTAATCTGCCACTAATTACTTTAACTGTCCGCTGCCTGTACATACAAGGTTTACATGCAACAATTGATAAAATTTAATCACAACAAATTTCTTAAAATATCTATTCTTTTCATTTTGGGTGGCCTGATTGTCTAAGGTGCTGTAATTCGCAATGCAGAGTTTCCCCCCTTGGGTATGCCAGAAACCTATTATCATGGGTTTGAATCCTGGTTCACCCTATTTCTGCTTTTTTGATGGTCAACACCATACCAGTGCTCGTGGGTTTCACCAAAGTGGTAAACGTCTGAGATCTGCATCACTTCAGGCTTTCCTCCCATATTAAGCCGACATGCAGTGATATAACTGTAATACTGTTAGAAGCGGCGTTAAACCCAACTCACTCATTCTTTTCAATCTAAGTTATGTAAAAAATATATGTATGAACTTCAGTGTCAAATTCTAAACAACAAAACAGTGAATGCAAAACTAGCAGAAAATCTTAATAACAATGTTGTAAGCACTTCTGGTTGACTGACCTTGACCTTCATAGGAAAAACTCTCAACTTCGAACTGCATAGACCTTGACAATTGGCACATGAAAAGTGTTGATTCAATTATTTAGAGTCTATCATAAGTGATTAGAAAACACTTTGCTGTTTCATGAACTAATCTGAAATTTCTTGAAATTTGGACCATGTTTCATAATTTGTGCTTTAGTAACCTTGAACTCATACAGAGGTCAGTATCTGTGATCATGGGCCTGTCTTTCATCAAATTCCATTCATAAATACTCAAGTTGTAGAGTAGATGTAGTTTTATACTTCCACTTACTGACACATACTGAGTGCCATCCAGTCATACATCAGAGCCTGTCCCCAGAGTAAATAGGAGGTATATCTGGTATAGCGCAGCTAATGGCTGTCATAACCATGTGATTGAGAAAATCAATTGAGGCAATTAGACAAACACATTAAACAGCCCCTACTAAATTCAGAATTTATCAAAGCAACTAGAGAACAGGGATAGTTTCAAATGCATTTTACTTGACATTATATACAGTCTTCAATCTAAAATGTGTTGTAAGCTGATCAATACAACAAATTTGGTCAAAATGCACAGATATATGTTCAAGATTCTGTGTGATCATTGACCCTACAAGCTTTGCCCAATTTGCTACTGATTGAATTTGACTTGTTCCAAATATAGAACGCTAAAAGTACCAAATAGGTGAAATCCACAACATTTGTCAATGTTTTCATTCCCAACACAGGCTCAAAACCAGCTTGAGTCACTGTCATCTGACCTCTGACTTTGTTAATATTAACAGGTTTGACTGGTTACTGAACTTGACATGTCTTTACATGTTGAGTGAAGATAAATACGAGTTACATAAATCAGAACACACAAATAACTATGTTGATATCTCCAATAAACTGTCTATGTAGAGTTGTAGTATGCCACAGGAGACAAATTTCAACACTTTCTACTTCTTAAACATACACACCTCACAGCTGTCTTGATCTACTTCTGGAACATAAATGAAGACAGCCTGTAGAACAGGGCAGTCTGGTTCTGATCAGATTACAACCTACCTGAAGGCATTTGCTGCATTAAACAAAAGCTCAAAGTCTGGTGTTGTTTTTGACAGTGCTAATCTGTAGCGGACCTCTGCTTCTATGTGACGGCCAGTCTCTGTCAGGAACTGGGCTGAAACACATAGCATGCAGTACAGGCTACTGTGTCATCTTGTTACATATAATAAACACGGATGTACGAGGAACTGCTGATTTTGCACCTAGTCCAAAATGTGTTCACAGGTTTTCTTTTATAAATTGAACATGCTCAATGTTGGAAAACCAGAGTACCACACATGCAGGAGCTCATCTGTATTTAGTGATAAAGCATTTTAGGGTTGAACATGCAATATATACACTATACATGGACACTTTACACACTACATGAACATTATATACATTACATGGACACTATACACATTAAATGAACAATGTATACACTACATACACACTACATGAACATTATATACATTACATGGACACTATACACATTACATGAACAATGTATACACTACATGGACACTTTACACACTACATGAACAATAGATACACTACATGACACTTAGGATTAGGATTAATTCAGACCTTTCAAATACTGTACGGCCAAACATGTAGTAGAAAAGATGTTTTACAAGCAGATAATTTCCTTGATAAATGTTGGCTTCATCTATCACAAAATAGTCTCTGGGAACTTGGTGTCACAGCAGTAATCTTCTGGTTGGCTGGTGCTGAAAGAGTTAAACGTTGCCCATGCTGCCAAAATAGCAGCGTCTTTCAAGCATTTCCACCCATGACATGAATATTGTTATATTGGCATTTGTGCACAAGCTAAGATAAATTATTTTCATACCTACCTTACTTTTTAGGGCAAAATTCAAGTAAAAAAATGTGAGAGGCTTTTTTTATTTTTAAATTGCCCTGCCTCACGTTTGAAATGAGTTTGAAATCCGTAAACCAAGAAATAAAAAAAAGTGTCGCCATACATGAACAAAATATACACTACATGGACACTTTACACACTACATGAACAATAGATACACTACATGACACTTTACACGCTACATGAACAATATATACACTATACATTGACACATTACATGAACAATATATACACTCCATACACACTTTACACACATGAACAATATATACACTCCATGACACTTTACACACTACATGAATAAAATATACACTATACATGGACACTTTACACACCACATGAACAATATATACACTATACATGCATACTTTACACACTACATGAACAATATATACACTCCTTGACACTTTACACACTACATGAACAATATATACACTACATGGACACTTTACACACTACATGCACAATATATACACTATACAAGGACACTTTACACACTACATGAACGATATATACACTATACAATGACACTTTACACACTACATGAACAGTATATACACTATACATGGACACTTTACACACAACATGAACAATATATAAACTCCATGATACTTTACACACTACATGAACAATATATACACTATACATGCACACTTTACACACTACATGAACAATATATACAGAACATGACACTTTACACACTACATGAACAATATATACACAATACAAGGACACTTTACACACTACATGAACAATATATACACTCCATGACACTATACACACTACATGAACAATATATACAGAACATGACACTTTACACACTACATGAACAATATATACACTATACAAGGACACTTTACACACTACGTGAACAATATATACACTATACATGGACACTTTACACACAACATGAACAATATATAAACTCCATGACACTTTACACACTACATGAACAATATATACACTACACATGGACACTTTACACACTACATGAACAATATATACACTATACAAGGACACTTTACACAATACATGAACAATATATACACTATACATGTACACTTTACACACCACATGAACAATATATACAGAACATGACACTTAACACACCACATGAACAATATATACACTATACATGGACACAATACACACTAAATAAACAATATATACACTACATGACACTTCACACACTACATGAACAGTATATACACCAAAAAGGGACACTTAACACACTACATGAACAATATATACACTCCATGACACTTTACACACTACATGAACAATATATACACTCCATGACACTTTACACACTACATGAACAATATATACACTATACATGGACACTTTACACACTACATGAACAATATATACAGAACATGACACTTTACACACTACATGGAGAGTATATACACTATACAAGGACACTTTACACACTACATGAACAGTATATACACTATACAAGGACACTTTACACTACATGAACAATATATACACTCCATGACACTTTACACACTACATGAACAATATATACACTATACAAGGACACTTTACACACTATATGAACAGTATTTACACTATACATGGACACTTTACACACTACATGAACAATATATACACTATACATGGACACTTTACACACTACATGAACAATATATACACTACATGACACTTTACACACTACATGAACAATAGTAGTATAGGTAATGATGGTTCTGGACCACTTCCACTGGAGCCAGATTTATATACCTATACCACCACTACAGATGGAAATTTTTATGTCAAAACGATGATGCGATTCAACGATCGTCATGAGATTAAGTTAAATTGGCTCTAGGTCACCCCTACCTGGAGTCAATCAATGATACCATAGAGGGAATTTTTAGTACAAAAACGATGAGACTAAACTAAATTGTAATGAAAATATTCTCTATTATTTTTACTCATACGTATACAATTTTTGGAACAAAGTGATATTCAACATTTTTACTAAGTTCTTCATTCATTTTACTAGGAGACCAGACTCTATATTCTTCTTGGTAATTGGAAAGAAACAATTGATGACCGTATTTGGTTGGTTTGATATCACTGATATAATATATACCGTGTGGTAATTCTCGCCATTTGATAATTTTGTCCCTGAGCATAAATGCTTTGATAGCTTTTTCGAGTTCTTCCTTTCTTGGTTTGTAATTCTCCATTATTATATATTTATGTAAGCATTCGTTTAAATGTGATCCAACGATAGGAATTTTTAATCTCCAACAAGTTCTTTGGTTTTGGCATGGAATAATTGACACGCTTGTTGTCTCCCCTGTTCTATGAACTTTTTTTTCTCGTCTTCGCTAATACCACTGGTCTTACGAGAATTTGATCGAATCTCCTGCTTCATTGCGTTGCATTTGGTGAGTTCTGACAAAACTAAACGAAACTCCTCCTCGGATATCTTACAATCAGCCATTGCTGTTGAAATATGATCCTCAATGCTGTTCAACTTTGCTTCGGCGAGTATCTGAATATTATCATGTTTTAATGCTTTCTTTTGGAACTTACAAGGAATGAATTTTATCGCTATTCCTGCCAGTCCAGAGACTCCAGCCGCTACTTCCATGCCAAGTACGATAGGCGCGGCGATTATAGTTGATAATAAACCAACACCGGTTACACTGAGTCCCATGCTAGCTGTTACAATCGCGGTGTCAACTCCGTCGAGAGCATTCACGGCTTTGCGGTACTTTTTATACAATCAAAGTCTCAACTCCTTCTCATTCTCTATTATTTGATGTAATCAAAATTCATCAACAGTATCCATCTTTTCAGATGCCTCATCGAGTGCCGGATATAAACTCATAGTGTATATTATTATATCATATAATAGTCTTTAATTGGTCTTGCTTCAATGTTTTGAGAGTATACATCAACCTTATTAAATGTATATTATATGGCATGAATATCTTAGTAAGAGAAATGCTATCACTTTCAATAATTTGGACTCCCTCAAGGGTTGCAACGTGATACTCCCATATAAATAATACTGCAACGTTGACATCGGTGTTTCTTAAGCAGTTTAATTGATAGACCTGGTAATATTTCGAAGGCATCTTCTGGTGCATCTCCAAACAAGACTTCAATAATAAGTGTAGAAAGATCAGGTATTGCACTCAAGTTATCTTTAATATCATTGAATTCAGTAACCAAATTTAAACTAACATTTTTTGATGACGGACGACTCAATAACATATGACCTGGGTTTTCTGGCAGGGGAGAGACAAACACACTTTTTTATTTTGATGGGATATAAGCCGCGAGTACGATGCCACTATTTATTATCTTAATTAAATTATGTGCCTTACCCATCATCACATATGGTGGGTTAATGACGATATCCAGTAGCCACTCGATTTTTTGTTCGATCATAGTCCATTTATTATCATCGTTGCGAGTAAGATTGTACGAAGTGTTTTTATTGAGTCTACTAAAGTCGACATCGCTTAAATCTCCTAGATTAACTGTGAATGGAACTTCTTTCCACTTGTATACATTATCTTGTAAGTGTAAAGCGTATAACTTGCCATCGATACCAGGTTTACCGAATCCTGTGTCTCCGAGATCGGAAAGCGCAATTGTATTACATTGTCTAAGATTATGCGTTCCAGGGCCTAATGAATTAACCATTATTTATAATATGGAGTGTTACACTCAAGTATCCTATATGTACAGGTTGATGTTTTACATCTAATACAGAAATTTTGAGGTCTGAAATAATACCCCGCTTTAATTTTTTAGATTGTAATGTTGAGAAAGATAGTATGAAGCAGTTGAATAGACTGACCATTTGTTATTCCCGGGAGTGTGACATACATATTAAATATACAATGAAACTACATCATAACTTAAATATGAAATCAACTTACATTACTAATCAGTCGATTTTAGTAAGTGCCTCTGGTGCTATTTTTTTTGTTAAATTCCCTGATATCTTTGAAAAATACAGGGTCACAGCAACTAGTGATAAAATGGTGAACGATTGGTTTCACAATCCGATGCAATTTTGGCAGAACCAGTTAAACTTTGCCATATGGTGTGCCACAACAGGATGTGGTGTATCTCTTAATGCCCCCGGATTTGAACTAAATAAGTCTGTTTTATCATTTCACGTGTACTATCAGATTAGACGTATACTTAAAGAAATTAGTGCTCCATTACCACAGGATCGAGCATTGAATTCCACAAATAATCTATACAATAGGTTCGCGTAT